GTGTGTGTGTGTGTGTGTGAGGATGTGTGTGTGTGAGGGTGTGTGTGTGAGGGTGTGTGTGAGGGGGTGAGGGGGTGTGAGGGTGTGTGTGTGTGAGAGTGTGTGAGGGTGTGGGTGTGTGTGAGTGTGTGTGTGAGGGGGTGTGTGTGTGTGAGTGTGTGTGTGAGGGGTGTGTGAGGGTGTGTGTGTGTGTGTGAGGGTGTGTGTGTGTGAGAGTGTGTGTGTGAGTGTGTGTGAGGGTGAGTGTGTGTGAGTGTGTGTGTGAGTGTGTGTGTGAGGGTGTGGGTGTGTGAGTGTGTGTGTGTGAGGTGTGTGTGTGTGTGTGTGAGGGTGTGTGAGGGTGTGTGAGGGTGTGTGTGGGTATGTGTGAGTGTGTGTGTGTGTGTTGGTGTGAGTGTGTGAGTGTGAGGGTGTGTGACTGTGTGTGTGTGTGAGGGTGTGTGTGTGTGTGAGTGTGTGTGTGTGTGTGAGGGTGTGTGTGTGTGTGGGTGTGTGTGAGTGTGTGGGTGTGTGAGGGTGTGAGGGTGTGTGTGTGTTGTGAGGGTGTGTGTGTGTGAGTGTGTGTGTGAGGGTGTGTGTGTGTGTGGTGTGTGTGTGTGTGTGAGTGTGTGTGTGAGGGTGTGTGTGTGTGAGTGTGTGTGTGTGAGGGTGTGTGTGTGTGTGTGTGAGTTTGTGAGTGTGTGTGTGTGAGGGTGAGCGCGGTACCTCTCTGTGTGTGTGTGTGTGTGGGTGTGTGTGTGTGTGAGTGTGTGTGTGTGTGAGGGTGTGAGGGTGTGTGTGTGTGTGAGTGTGTGTGTGTGAGTGTGTGTGTGTGTGTGTGTGTGTGTGAGTGTGTGAGTGTGAGGGTGTGTGACTGTGTGTGTGTGAGGGGTGTGTGTGTGTGTGTGAGTGTGTGTGTGTGTGTGAGGGTGTGTGTGTGTGTGGGTGTGTGTGTGAGTGTGTGGGTGTGTGAGGGTGTGTGTGTGTGTGTGAGTTTGTGAGTGTGTGTGTGTGAGGGTGAGCGCGGTACCTCTGTGTGTGTGTGTGTGTGTGAGGGTGTGTGTGTGTGTGAGTGTGTGTGAGTGTGTGTGAGGGTGAGTGTGTGTGTGAGGGTGAGTGTGTGTGTGTGTGTGTGAGTGTGTGTGTGTCTGTGAGTGTGTGTGTGAGTGTGTGAGGGGGTGAGCGCGGTACCTCTCTCTGTGTCTGTGAGTGTGTGTGAGTGTGTGTGAGGGTGTGTGTGTGAGGGTGTGTGTGAGCGCGGTACCTCTCTCTGTGTGTGTGTGTGTGTGAGTGTGTGTGTGTGTGTGTGTGTGAGGGGGTGAGGGTGTGAGTGTGTGTGTGAGGGTGTGTGTGTGAGGGGGTGAGCGCGGTACCTCTCTCTGTGAGTGTGTGTGTGAGGGTGTGTGTGAGTGTGAGTGTGTGTGTGAGGGTGTGTGTGAGGGGGTGAGGGTGTGAGTGTGTGTGTGAGGGTGTGTGTGTGAGCGCGGTACCTCTCTCTGTGTGTGTGTGTGAGTGTGTGTGTGAGCGCGGTACCTCTCTCTGTGTGTGGGTGTGTGTGAGGGTGTGTGTGAGCGCGGTACCTCTCTCTGTGTGTGGGTGTGTGTGAGGGTGTGTGTGAGCGCGGTACCTCTCTCTGTGTGTGGGTGTGTGTGAGGGTGTGTGTGAGCGCGGTACCTCTCTCTGTGTGTGGGTGTGTGTGAGGGTGTGTGTGAGCGCGGTACCTCTCTCGGGGCCGCCATGGCTGTTGTGGCTGTTGGGGCTGTTATCGCTGTTGTGGTGACTGTGACTGACTGTCGGTGTGGGGGCCGCGCGCGGTGCAGGCCGGGAGGCGAGCCTCACACCAGCAAATAACAACAACCCCCCCTCACCCCCCACAGACACACCCCCTCACACACACCCTCACACACACACCCCCTGACCCTTCACCGCGGCGCCGACAAACCCAATTAAAAAGAAAATTTAAAATAATTTTTTTTCGGGGAGGGGGGGCCTCCGGTTGTCATGGCGACGGGCCCCGCCGACCCGGCGCTACGTCACTCGGCGTCACGTGATCCGGAGAGAGAGAGAGAGAGAGAGGGGAAATCCCAGGGGATTCCCCCAGAGTGAGGACACAGAGAGGTGAGACCCCACACAACCCCCACCCACACCCCCCCACCCACACCCACCTCATTCGCTCACCCACTCACCCCCCCCCACCACCTCACTCACCCCCCCACCCACACCCCACTCACTCACTCACCCCACCTCACTCACTCACCCCCCACCCACCTCACTCACCCCCACCACCTCACTCACTCACCCCCACCTCACTCACTCACCCCCCCCACCCACCTCACTCACCCCCCCCACCCACCTCACTCACTCACCCCCCACCCACCTCACTCACTCACCCCCACCCACCTCACTCACTCACCCCCCCACCCACCTCACTCACTCACCCCCCCCACCCACCTCACTCACCCCCCACCACCCACTCACTCACCCCCCCACCTCACTCACTCACCCCCCACCTCACTCACTCACCCCCCACCTCACTCACTCACCCCCCCACCTCACTCACTCACCCCCCCACCTCACTCACTCACCCCCCACCTCACTCACTCACCCCCCCACCCACCTCACTCACTCACCCCCCCACCTCACTCACTCCCCCCCACCTCACTCACTCACCCCCCACCTCACTCACTCACCCCCCCACCTCACTCACTCACCCCCACCCACCTCACTCACTCACCCCCCACCTCACTCACTCACCCCCCACCCACCTCACTCACTCACCCCCCACCTCACTCACTCACCCCCCCACCTCACTCACTCACCCCCCCACCTCACTCACTCACCCCCCCACCTCACTCACTCACCCCCCCCACCTCACTCACCCCCCCACCTCACTCACCCCCCCACCTCACTCACTCACCCCCCCCACCTCACTCACTCACCCCCCCAACTCACTCACTCACCCCCCCACCCACCTCACTCACTCACCCCCCACCCACCTCACTCACTCACCCCCCACCCACCTCACTCACTCACCCCCCCCACCCACCTCACTCACTCACCCCCCCACCCACCTCACTCACTCACCCCCCCCCACCCACCTCACTCACTCACCCCCCACCTCACTCACTCACGCCCCCACCCACCTCACTCACTCACCCCCCCCCCCCCCACCCACCTCACTCACTCACTCACTCACTCACCCCCCACCCACTCACACCGGGGAATAATCATCATAAATAATTATCATCATCATAATAATAATCCTGGCATTAATATAGTGCCTCATCACTACCGTGGGGACGTCTCGAAGCCCTTCACGAAATGCACAGTCACCACACTGCCCTTTTACCGTGCCTTCCGCGAAGCGCTTTGGGACGTCTCGAAGGGCTTCACGAGCTGCACAGTCACTACGCTGCACTTTACCGTATATTCCGCGAAGCGCTTTGCGACGTCTCGCAGACGTGATAAGGCGCTGTATCACATCGCAAGGATTATCATCATCATTATTAATATATACTGCAAAGTGGATGGACTGTATGTTTTGTGGGCGAAACGCGGCACATATGGTCGTGGATTGTTGCAGACTGTTTGTGGGGCAATGCTGTACGCAATTGGCTGCTGGAGTCCCCTGGGTGGGGACATAAAGGAGTGACGCAGAGTGGGGGGGTCCCCCCCCGCCACCCACCCACCCACCCACCCCAGACCGCAGCCAAGGATAGAAATACCCACGGCCATTTGTGGAGGCGCACTGAAATCCAACCAGTGAAACGTTATTTGGGGAAATGCGAAATGAGCATTTTTGTACAAAATAGGAACTGAGACACAATGTTACACTCAACGCTGCCAATGTGATTCAATAAAAGTAGCCACTGCACTATCATCCATCTTCCCCACTTTTTGTCTGGGCTGCCTCAAGCTTAAACCCTCCGTCGCCTATCTGTCAGACTCAGAGAGAGAGAGAGAGAGAAAGAGAGGGTGGAGATCCCAGGGGAATCTCCAGGGTGAGGTCAGAGAGGAGAGACACCCCCAGATAATAATAAGACTTGCATTCGATATAGAGCCTTATCATGTCGTTGAGACGTCTCAAAGGACACTGGCAGGCAGAGCAATGAACAGCGAGTGGGTCTGCAGGCAGGAGAAACGTAATGAAACCAGAAAGAAACTTGGACACGTGTAGTTGGGCGATCGAACACCTCAGCAATTCGCTTTCCGTGAAACTGAATTGGCTGCTTGTGACCGACCGTGTCGGACAGATGTGAACCGCCTAAAGCACAGCCGAGAACTCATGTGATTTTTGTGAATTGGTGGCAACAGAAGATGTGCTGACGTCCCTCTTCTGGCTAACGTCTTGGGAGAGACGTTACGGAAACGAAACCTTCCATTGCGAGCAAAGGGAGTCGTTTTACTTATCGTCATAATAGAATGTATATTGATACCTTCGATATAATAATAATTCTTACATTTGGCACAGCACCTTTCGCCTTGGGAGGGCGCCCCGCAGTGCTTCACGGGATTTACTGGGAAGTGCAGTGACTGTGTATTTTGTGGGCAAATACGGCAGCCCAATGAGCACGGGTCACCCAATTTTATTTGGGGGAGTTTTGGCCAAGACACTGGGAAAAACTCACTTCTCTTTTCAAATAGCGCTATGGGGGCCACTATTTAACATTTCAGTCAAAAGGACGGCACCTCTGACAATACAACGCAGCCCTGGCACTGCGTGGGAGTGTCAGCTTTGACTATGTGAGTTCAAGTCCTGAAGTGGAGCTTGAACCCAGATTGGGGGCAGAAAGGTTGAAGGCCCGATGTTGGGGCGGGCAGTTCGGGGGATGTGAGGTAGACCATTGCCTGCCGAGGGGAGGGAGTGGGCGGGTAAGTAGGGTTTTAGAAGGTCACGAAGGTAGCGTGGGGCAAGACTGTGGAGGGATCTGAAAATGAGGAAGAGGATTCTGAACTCAATCCTCTGGGGGCTGGGGAACCACGCGAGGCTGGGGTGATAGGCTCACCGAGCCGAGAGCAGGAGAGGACACAAGATGCAGAAGTTCTGAAGAATCTTGAAAACCTTCTGATTCAAGAGGCGAGAGTTCTACCAACTGAGCCAGACTGTCACATATAAGATTACCAGAAACAAGTAGGGAATTATGATTACATTAAATAGCCCCAGTGGGGCAGCTGGCACCAGTAATAGACTCAAAGTGCCACAAAGAATACTTCTATGGTCAATTCTGTTATTTCTATGGTAATCAGGACTCAATTGAGCTAATCTTACACCCTCTAACGGCGATACTAGGGACCTGCAGCCCAGTGTGACAGATTTGCTCAACTCTTAAGGGACCTGCAGCCCAGTGTGACAGATTTGGCTTCAACTCTTACTCCACACAGAGCCTAATATAATCCCTCCAAAACCAAAAACAATAATAAATTGGTCATTTTCAATCTACGACTGTTTGCTTGTGCCGCGTTCGCCCACAATATACAGTCAATTCACTTTACAGTGTGTTCTGTGAAGCGCTTTGGGACGTCCTCCAGACGTGAAAAGCGCTATATCAAATGCAAGGATTATTATTATTATTATTATTGCACCAGAACTCTTCTTTCTTGTCTGAAGATCTCGACCGATTTGCATCTTAAACCAATATGCCAGCTCATTCCTGTGATATCAGTATTTTGCTGAATGCACATAATGCTCAGATCCTCTGCAAGATTGAAAACAGACTGAAGTCACAATGTGGTTTTGTCTTGTGTGCATTGCCCCCGGCTTCCCTTAACAGGATAGCTTGACAGCCAAGCCTGGGTGTGTATAAAGCAATGACTAAAAAGCTGGAACAGATGTTAACATTTGCTGCAGATGTCAAGAACAATCGTAACCACAACCTGCACGTATATAATGGCTTTTATGTAGGATGAAAAAGGTCTTGAAGTGTTTCATAAAATAAGATTACTTAAGAGATTGTTTGTGGGCAAACACAAGAGCTGACTGACCTGCATCAGCAACGTCCGACAATCGACGACGAGATAAATAACCAATAAACTGAATTTTTTTTGGTGGTGATTCTAGATGAGGGAGGAGAAACTCAACACTGAGACATAGCAACAAGGGAAGGACTCTTAACACCCACCTCAATAACAGGCAGGGCTTTGGTTTAACAACTCACTGGGTGAAGCGATGATGATCTGGAATGAAATAATAAACAATACTTGCCATTAAGTGTAGCTGATCACATCACATCCCAAAGCACTTCACGGAAGAAATTACTTTGTAATGCAGCAAATGTTTTGAAGGCAAACGCGGCAGCCAATCTGCCTCAGCATCAACTAATTGTTGCAGCTGATTAATGTGAAATTCGTGAGGGTGAATTTTGATCAAGGGACGAAAATTGGCACTGCAACTGCATTTCATTTTAAACGTTAATGAAATGACTTTTTTAAAAAAAGACAAGAAGCATGAGAGTGGTGTTCATTGAGCATTGCACAGCGGGCTGGTTAGTGTCTCAACAAATGCGAAACACTATCTTGTGATTCCATTGAAATGCTGAATAGAGATAAAGATGGAATTTCGATTCTAGAAGAAAAAAAGGTCAGATAAGTAATGAAAGGTGAGGCAGGAATATGGGAGTTGGCTGAGGAAGGGTAACAACACATTACAAGGGCCTTTCATATCAGGAGGACGTCCCAAGGCGTAGGATAGTCAAGGATTTGGACCGGAACCGGGGTTGGGATCGGGGGGTTGGAGAGCAGGGAGGGTACGGGAAGGAGGGTGACCGAAGGTGTGGTCGAAGAGGAGGGTCTTGAGACTTGTCTTGAAGGAGGCGAGGGAGCGAGGCGAAGGGACTGCGGGATGAAGTTCCAAAGGGTGGGGCCAGAGAGGTTGAAAGTAACAGCTAGAGAAACAGAGTAATGATTAAAAGGTGTAAATTGCTCCTATCACTGACCCTTCACTCTTCAAACCCCTTTCAGACCCGAGGCTACCAGGGGTGGACTTCTACATCCCACCAGCGGAGAGGATCAATGTCCAATCCAATTTTGGCAGTTTCAGAAAGTGACTGGCAACATGGCAGAGAGAGTGAGGTAGGAGCAGCAAACTAGGACTGGACCATCTGAGAGTACGGGATAACAATGATGACTTGCACTTGTACAGGGCCCTTCACGTGGGGTAGAGTCCCGGAGCACTTAACTACAGGATCATATGTAATATGTTTGTTTGGTGGATTTGGATGAAGGGAGGGCTAAGGTCATCAGGTGTGTGAAAACAGCAGCGTGAGGTGACAATCGAATGCAGGCAGAGGTACAAGGTTAATCCTTGCTTTTGGATTAGTTAGAGAGGTACAAATACATACACACAACCTTAAAATCACTGATAATGTAGGTACACTTAATTTTTTATTGTGGATGTCAATAGCCATGTAGTCGATGCATAATTACATCTTCAGTAAAAGTTCAATGATTGCCACTTGCTAATTCATTGAGCAATAATTTCTAGTTTATTGGTGGGAAATAATAGTCATTATATATTACAAATATCTATCCAGTAGATTTAAAAAACACACACATTCCCCCATTTCATCGATGGTGGCTCAATTGAAAGCTCACTCGCCATTAATAATAATAACCCTTGCATTTGATATGGTGTCTTATCATGACATCATGTCTCAAAGAGCTTCACCGAATAAAATACAGAATGTAAAGTGTATTTTGTAAGCGAAACACGTCAGCCAATTGCACACAGCAGTGCCCCACAAACAGTCATGGATTGAGTCACCACATTTTGTTTATTTTGGAGGGATTATTACCCCTGGAAATCGATCCGACAATCGACCAGCAACCAGGTTCCTACTTACTGCTCAGTAAACAGAGGTGTGTGGAGTAAGGAAACTTGCCTAAGGTTTCTCCCCCCAGGAATCAAACCTGGGTCCTCTCGTTTGTGAGGCGAGTACTCTAACCAATAAGCTACGAGACTCCACACATATATATATATAATATATCAAACCAACTGCAGATGAATCACAAACTGACATTCTTGAGCGCTTAGGGAATGGGAAAATTGTGGTGTTTCAATTTGGGTCACAATACAACCAGCATGGAGGTGTGGGGGGGGGGGAATTACACTAACATAACCACCACCGATTGTGTTGATCAAAATACAAGTAATACAGAAAGATGTAGAATTAAAACACTGCACATCTGCAACAGCTCAACACAAGTAGAAAATGTAAACTACTTACAACAGCAATGTTATCAAGAATAGTACATGTTGTCCATGTTTTTAAATCTCTGTAAAAAGCTCTGATATACAAGGCTAACATAGTTTAAAATTGCTAAACGATTAATATATAAATAACTTCCATTTCTGTTCACATATGGAAAGGCAATACGTACACTACATAACACAACGTAAATAACTTCAAAACAAAGTCTAGTCACCCTGGGGGCCAGATACCAATATCTAGCTGCATATTAGATAATAATGATTGCATTTTGATATAGCGCCTTATCACATCTTCGAGATTCTCAAAGCGCTTCACAGAATATACTGTGAAGTGAATTGACTGGATATTTTGCAGGCGAAATGCCAACAAGTTGATTTTATTTTGATACAGTGACATTTGTGCAGCTCAGCAAACAGACAAATCTCCATTATAAAGTCTCTCTTTAAATAACATTGGTACAAGAATTGCTCATTAACCGTTTCCCTGCTGGTTTCTTTTATAAACTTCGTAAACACAATCTTGGGCAGCACACTTCAAGTGATCTGCAAGTACCAGCTTCTCCGAGTCTCGGGCACCTTTGGTTTCCATGCTACCTTACCCAAGGCCAAGAGGATGCCACAATTGCCTCTAATTGACATATCAACCAGCAAATGGGATTAAACAAAACATGAGATTGTTCAGCTATGTTACCCGCCCTCCCCACTTTTGTGGAGAAAGCCATTTCAAGGCAGCCTGACTTGGGTACGAAGCTGTAAAATGTGGCATAGCGCACATTAGTCAAGACAGGGCATTGTCTCCGTGCGCTCTGAAGTCCAGCGCCCTTATGCTATAGTTATTGGGAACCACAAATATTTGGAAGTTGTGCTGCAGATTTTCTGATAAAATATATATAACACACATTTTATTGTTCTGTTGTGTGTTCCCTTGCTGCAAAATTATTTGGGAAGAGAGAGAGAGGGGCGTTTCCTCTCAGGCTCCACCCGACTCTGTCTCGGAGCTCATCACTGGGAGGCAGATAAGAGCAATATGGATTAACACTCACCCCCCCAACCCTTTCTTTCTTCTGGACGGTTATCAGGGTGGCGATTAACTTCTATCCCACCTCTCACACAGTAATCAATGTGGTGAGGGTTCTTCAACTTCAATGGACATTCTTCTTCAAATGACAATTAATATTTATATATTGCAACTTTCACATTGAAACGATGACTCAAAGTATTTCACACAGCTGTTTGGGAGCTCGAGCTATGGGGGTATGTGAGAGAGTTGGCCAGAAGATTAGAACACTATATTGTGATGTACTAAAAACTATTGTAATATTTTTTATGGTCTTATTCTGCTATCTTTTTGCTAAGAGAGTGAGACAGTTTTGTTTTGGGCACTGGAAGATATTCCTGGGCTCAGCAAAGCTTTGACAACTTTGACTTCTTACTTATGTCCGCTAGCTTATTAGGAATACATTTTGGGACTACTGTGCGATACGGGAGATTATATACGTCAGCCTTTCTGATCGGAGAGAAGACGAAGAGAGAGAATAGAGGTAATAGTTCTCAAAAATAGATAAAACTTAACTAAAGTCAGAAGCTATACTGAACATGTCTTGTGAAGTGGGGTTTTAACCGAAAGGTTGATTAAAGGATAGGAAACAAACTAAGTGTTCATTTACATGGTTATTTGGAATGTACACACGTAAACAGTAGTGTCACCCAGAGAATTACTACTTAAAATAAATAATAATAATCCTTGCATTTGATATAGCGCTTTTCACGTCTTTTAGACGTCTCAAAGAGCTTCACAGAATGCACTGTAAAGTGAATTGACTGTATATTTGTGGGCGAAACGCGGCAGCCAATTGTGCACAGCAATGTCCCACAAACAGTCGTGGATTGAAGTGACCAATTTATTATTTTTTTTCTTGAGGGATTATTATCAGGCGTGTGGAGTAAGGATTCTTGCCCAAGGTTTCGCCCTGTGCCGGGAATCAAACCTAGGTCTCTCGCTAGGCGAGTGCTCTAACCACTGAGCTACAGGACTCCACAAGTATCTCCACAACTTCTCCACAAGTAGAAGTATTATTATTAAATTATATCTGGATTCTAGTATAAGGGCCACAATTTCTATGTAAGAAGATGATACAAAAATAGGGAGTAAATCTGCTAATTATATGTACTGTATCTCCAAATGGAGACGAATAGACTGGGCAGTAAAACCGCAGATGAAATTTACTGCAGTATAATATGAGGTTACACATTTTAGGAGGGAGGAAGAGAAGATTTAGATGCTAAATAGTAATATTTTAACAAGAGAAGAGACCTAGGGGTTAACATTCATAAATGCAGCTGAAGTAACACCTTAAAAGTAACTTAAAAAACACCTTAAAAGTAATTTAAAAGTAACTAAAGTAACAGCTGAAGTTCACCCCAGAAAAGTAATTTAAGAGTGCAATGCTCCGCATCATTTCCTGATTCAAGAATAGCTAAATGCAAACGTTCATCAAGTATTTAAATTCAATGTTCATTTCACCATTAAATTTAGTTTGGAGTCAGCAACAGGTTTTGGACAGTTAATGACTGTACACCATTTTAGTTTGGACCAGCGATTCATTTCATTTTGCTCAGAGGGAACAGTAAACTGCAGACAGATTTATATACGAATCCCGCATATAAATCTTGGCAAACCACTATTTAGGTGAAGCTCCTGTTTTCAGATGGTTCACTTTTGTTTAAAACAGGCTTTTTAAAATGTTCGAACTTTTTTTTAATATTTTAAAAGAAGCGATTGTGGGACGCAAGAAATAAGAGTAACGTGCATATTCTTCAAAGTTTGGGACGGGGCTATGAGCACTCTTGTGCAAGATACATTCTAAACGAACTCCCTCGGTGTATTTTCACACACGCGGAAGCTTCTTAAAAAAGTGCTCGAGTCACTGGGGACGAGACGGAGACAAGAGTCCCGAGAGTTTGTCTCTGAGAGCTGGTGCTTGTGACTTAAGACTAGCGATTGTACGTGCTGCATGGGATTGCCTGGGGAAACTGCCATGGGTTTCCTGTGCGCTCCTGTAAGTGGCCTTGCAGAGCTGACTCTCTCTCTGGACGGCAGCGACCGACTTGCTTTTTTTTTACACACATCTAGTCTTTACACAACACAAAATTAGATTCGTAAAGCTCCTTTCACGTCGGGATGAGGTCCCAAGGCACTGGACAGTCAGGGATTTGGACCCGAGCCTGGTGGGGGGATTGGGGTAAGGGAGGGTGGGGGAAGAGGGAGGGTAGGAGGCTGAAGAGGGTAAATGGGGTACATCGATACAATACTTCATTTACCAATTGCTTTAGTGCACAGGTTTACTCACTCCGTGCGATTACACTGTTTAGAAAACTTACATGAAACTGTCAGTTTCCATCCTGATGCATTACAACACGCAACAGCAATTGAACAACATTCCAAGGCACTCGACCCGAAATGATGCTTGTTTCGCACAATGATGAAAAACGTTATTGTACAAAATAAGTCGTAGCTTAGAATTTCTGTATACGGAAAAAAAATTGCATTATTGTTATTATTCCAAGGTACCGTCTGCAATTGTCGTCTTCATATATAAAAATAATCTTGAATCAAATTGTACAATTTTATTGAACACCAGAAATATAAAACGCTATGGGTCGGAATTGCTCAACTTATGAATCCTCATTTGTAAGAAACTGTGCGATGAATTCCTGTGCCTTCTTCTTATTCTCAAATAGGTTGTAGCTACTATTCTGAAAGGAAGGCGGCCTCAGTAGCAAAGCTCCGAAGATGCTCGCTGGAGAGAGAGAGAGGGAGGGGGAAAAAAAAGGAAACGTTTCATTTCCCCGTTCGTAAAAGGAAAGAAAAAATAGTGTTTCGTGGCATGAGAATTGCACAATTGTAGACAATCTTGTTATGCTGACAGGAAGTCCAAATTTATGTTTCGTGGCTCACATTACGCTCCAGGTGGTTGGAAGATTGTTTGAAAATTATAATAAATAATAAGAATCCTTGCATTTGATACAGTGCCTTATCACTTCTTCGAGACGTCTCAAAGCACTTCACAGAATACACTGTAATGTGAATTGACTGTATATTTTGTGGGGGAAATATGTGGTGGAAATAAAATGAGGAATATTAAAAAATGAGTGAATGAGAAGCAGAGTGGGATTAGTGTAGATGGCTCAGGTGGAGACAAATACCAGAGTAGGTGTGATGGGAGGAATATGACCGTTTCTATGTGAGCGGACTTGGCTTGCAGTTCTGTTAATTTGCAAAGAAACCAGTGAAGTTGTAATTATATTTCAAATACAGAGAGAGAGAGAGAGGCTGCCAACAGTTAAAGCCATAGAGAGACTATGGAGACTATGCAGACTAGAGAGAGAGCACAGACTAGAGGGAGGGCATAGAAGTAGTGTAAAATAGACAGCACTTTTTGAGTTTTGTTGTATGAAACAGTGTACCATACTGCGTTGATTAAAAGAGAAAACGCACACACATACGAGTATTGTTGCTGGGCTAATTTCTCTGGTATACAGACCCTCCTCTCCTCCAGGATTACACATGGTTTCTTGGTCCCATCCTCACCTGTAACACATCAATCTCTTGGGTTCCTCAGAACACAGTGGATAACCCTTTAGCTTACCAAGTGTAGTGATGTCAAGGTTGTTGGAGGCTTGGTGTTTCAGAAGCTCTCTAAGGAAAGCCATTATGTAGTTGAATACGTTTCTGTGGCATGGAGGCAGCATCGAGACAACCTTACGAAAGATAAAAGGAACAAAATACACAACTTATTTTCTAAAATCCAGACTGTCTTATCACACCTTTTGACTTATGCATGGTTTGTTTGCATATACAACACTCGGATTGACTTGCCGCTCGTGATCCTGGGGTGTCCACATGTTCAAGTTCAGAGGCAAAATGTGTCACTTCATGTTGTACTGCAATGTACTGCCATCACTGAGGGGTTCAGCCTCTCAGCCCCTAGGCTCTGGAACTCTATCCCCCAGTGCCTTCGCCGCCTCCTCCCTTTCCTCCTTCAAGGCTGGTCTCAAGATCTTTCTCTTTGACCGTGCCTTCAGCTCCCCTCTCTACCCCTTCCTCGCTCCCTCCCTTCCCTCCCCTCACTCTGACCATTCCCCCCCTGCTCGGGTCCTGACCCAACTGTACAGCGCCTTGGGACGTCCTCCCGACGTGAAAGGCGCTCAATAAATGGAATCTTGTTGTTGTTGTTGTTCTTAGCAAGCTATGCAATGGCTGGTATTAGAATAAATAAATAATAATCCTTGCATTTGATATAGCGCCTTATCACATCTTTGACACGTCTCAAAGTGCTTCGCAGATTATACTGTAAAGTGAATTGACTGTATATTTTGTTGGTAAAACGTGGCAGCCAATTGCGCACAGCAGTGTCCCACAAACAGTCGCGGATTGAGTAACCAAATCATTTTTTTAAATTTATTTTAAAAGGAATTATTACCCCTGGAAAAGTGATCCGCTAATCGTCTAACAACTGGGTTCCTACATACCCCTAGATTAACAGTGGGGTGTTGAGTAAGGAAATTTGCCCAACGATTTGCCCTCCCGGGAGTAGAACACAGGTCCTCTCGCTTGTGAGCGAGTGCTCTAACCACTGAGTTACCGGACTCAGATTTCACCAAACATCACGTACACACGTTTCATTGACCAGACAGGAATCCTGGCCAATTGGGTGAGATCAGTGATGGCAAGCAATAACTGGGGACTAATGGTATTGAGTTTGAGCATATCCATCAGTGGTAAATATCATACAGTGAATGAGTAATTTAAGTTCATTCCTATTACAATTTTGCTTCACAGAACCGGGATCCAAACGAGCAGAAAAGTTAGGTGTAAAGAAAGGGAATGGTGCTGCTGTACCTCTTTGCACTGAGTGTTATTGCTGCTGCACTCTAAGCATTTCCAGTACATGTCGTAGCAGATGACTGGCTCTGGAAGGGCGTCCAGGAAAAGCAACAACGCTTCAGCTATCGAATGGTTACTGCCAGCTGTGAGCACAAAGGGTTAAGGAAAAGAAAAAACACTTTGCCCCCCCCCCCCAGCCTGGGCAATCAGCAAAACACATTGAAAAAGAATATCAGTGGCGTGAACATTGCTATGCAAGTAAATCCTCAAAGACCGTTTGATGAGAAACTACAGTCTAATGAATTGCGGGCCCTACAATAAGCTTCGTTCTATTGATATATCTCAGTACTTCCTTGTTACCATAGTCTAAGCGGACACTCCAATGCAATGCTGGGACGTGCTGCTGCATAGAAATGGATTCATTTATTATGGGGACACCATGTTACAAATGAGACCAAAAAAATGAGACGTTGTGCTATTAACAGAGGAGTGGAAAGGAATGACTGCCAGGCCCACTTCCAGTTTGCCTGCTCACTGCTGAAGACATTTTTTTCTGCACATTGAGCATGTCCACTAAACACAAGCGCGTCTGCTGACATCTGGTCAGGGCAGGAACCCAAGTTGTCCTGCACTTCCAGTCGAGTGCGAGGACCACATAACTGGGTCTGTTATCCAATAGGACACACTGTCATTGCGAGAATCTTAATCAATGCGCTAAACATTTCAGAACATGAACTGTATTGACATCTAATCGGAGTATTTCTTTGGCTCGGAAACTTTAAGGTCTGTTATTTCACTCCTTAAAAATCTCCACATTAGTTGTGCAGCCTGGTCGTTATACAGAGAAGGATACACAGGTAATCCGGGATTCCAGTGTCTAAGCAATCTCGAATCGCATCGAATTGACATCTCAGTCCTGGCTGCTGGAATATGTCTTCCTATACACAATCACAACATTTTAACACAGTCAATGAAACCTCTACGTTAACATGCCCCCTTAACCAATTCAGTACCATCAACTCCAAAGACGTTTTGTTCAAGGGGAAATGCTACCATAACAAAGCAATACTGAGATCTATTAAGAGTTTAAAAATAGGGCATTTACAGTGTTCGAATCGAATGAAAAGCCCTTATCAATAACAACAAATTACATTTCCACAGCGCCTTTCATCAGGGGGACATTCCAAGGCACTGGACAGTCAGGGATCCGCAACAGAGCTGGTGGTTGGGATCAGGAGAGGGCGGAGGGCGGGGAGGGTAGGGTTTCCAGAGTCACCGAAGATGTGGACGAAGAGGAGATTTAAATTTTCAAGATTCAATTTCACCCACAAAACGTGAAGACGAGAAAAGTCAAAGAAAACGAGAGAGATTCCGAAAATAGTTTTTGTTAAGTATGAGGGACGTCACCTGCTGGGAAGCATTCCGATACAGGTGATCCACCATCATCCAGATTTCTTTGGGGATCTCAAGTGGCTTCTCTGTTAGAAGGTCAAGCTCCTCATACCGTAATGGCATTTCTTCCTGCAAAGCAAAACATACAACAATTAACCTGGAGAACCAAGGCTTCTGAAACCCAAAACATTTTGAATTGCGGTCAAAAATAATTGTGGTCATTCTCTAAGAGTACCTCTTCTGGGTCAAATTTTCCCAACAGTCCCGATGGCTTTAATGAGGATTGCAAATTTACATTTTAAATAATCATAATAATAATAATCCTTGCATTTGATACCTTCGTGTCAGGAGGGAAGTTTCAAAGTTTCAAAGCGCTTCACAGGATTTATTATAAAGTATGTGCAGATCAAATAGACTGAAGGCCGGGCCACTGCATCCAAACTTCTCATGATCTTGTGGAGCCCGAAACGTAACCTTGTTGTACCTTATCAGTGAAGGGTCTAGACTTTGTCTGTCCTTCAACCCAATCTTGCAATAACAAGTCCTTTCCTGACGATGGTGCTATCTGCACCAACAACATTCATCTTAACCTGGTTTCTAACAACAGAGTGAACACTAAAGAGTATCAACAGTTCTTGTAACTTGTCAGAAAAAATCATGCCTCTGTCAGGTTATTTGCAGCAAAATATCCTCTCCTACCTACAGAAGCATCACTATGCTTGACAGCAATTAATTATCTATGAAGCTTTGAGATGTTTCAATGTGGCAAAGCACTATTTTGTTATATATAAAAAATATATTTTTTGCATAGACTGTGGTACACTGCTGTGCGCAATTACAATTGGCTGTCGCATTTTGCCTGCAAAATAGTCAATTCACTTTAGAGTATAGTCTGTGAAGCACTTTTAGACGTCTCAACAACGTAATAAGGCGCTATATCAAATGCAAGAATTACTATTATTAATTATATATATTAAAAAACGTCTTTCTTTATTCTCATGTCTCTCCGTTCACTCACCAACTCTCGTATTCTTTCAGCCGGCATGTCTTGGATTGGCTCCCTCATCTGGCAGAGCGCTTGCAAGGAGGATCCAAAGCTGCTCGGACGATAGTTCCCAGATATGGCCAAGAAGTAGTCTTTCCCTCGGTCCAGATGTAAAATTAAAATATCCTCAATTTTGTCCTCCTGAGTGTTCAGCTTGAGGGCAGTAGATTTATTCACATAAACTTCTAACTCGATCTCTATCGTACCTCCTGAAAATAAACCCAAAGGAGGTCTGAGATCTCGCCTCGCTCACAATTACTGTGGCCTGATCCACACCTGAGTGAGGATCTTGAGGTCGATCGGCTGAAAGACCAATTGGAGCTTGTAGAGGATGCGGGTAAAAAGTGAGTTTAGTTTAGTGCAGGGAGGACGCAAGTGGCTGAATTATTTTTGGGATTGTGCCCTTGGAGTGAGTTGAGAGTGATCAGGAAGTAGAGGAAGGGTTGAGCTGAAAGAAGCTAAGGTTTATACAGGATTCGACGTTAGGCAGATTACAGCATCAGAGTACCTGGAATCATAGACACTTCCATTTCCCACACGTGGCCTGACAATACTAGACTGACACTTCAAAAACAATTCACACCAAATAAGGGCTTTTGCGGAGCTGCCAAGGCACACTCACAAAAACTCTAACCTCCTGCATATACTGTCTAACAACCATCAGAGGGAGATTGTAAATGGCAAAAGCTCATCTGTATGGCACCCGGGCCACTCTGCTTTTCAGGATGTTGAACGCTTGAGAGGAACGGAATTAAAAAGAAACGAGAAATAACATTTATGTTTTCCACTCAGAATTCTGTAGCTTACCCTGAGGCAGAATCCCCCTGTCAGGGGTAACACTGAGCCAAGGTTTGCAATATGAAGGCTCGTCCAATTTGGTGATGAATTCAAACTGACAAGGCACCTGTCCATTATTCTCCACAGTAACCGTTTGGACCTGAAGCTGCATAAACTTCACATTCTCAAAATGGAACTAGAGAGAGAGGGGGAGAGAGAGGGAGGGAGAGAGGAAAAGGAAAAATTATATACATCAAGAGACTGGTTGAGACTATTTCACGTACAATTCTTTGCAAGGTTGTTATCAACGTTTTGTAGCAGTGGCTCTCTGGACTGCAGTAAGAGTGCGCGCTGGTGATTCAGATTACTCGCATTTCTTTTGCACCATTGAATTATAGTCCTTTATAATAATAATACTTTCATTTGATGTAGTACCTTATTTCGTCGTTGAGACGTCTCAAAGCGCTTCACAGAATACATAGTAACGTGGATTGACTGTATTTTGTGGGCGAAACACGGCTGTCAATTCCCACAAACAGTCCATTTTAGCCCCAGTTCCTGCACAATATTTGGGCCAAAAATGCTTTTGTGACCTTGGATGAAGTTGGTATTATTGACTGTTTATTGCGGGGAAATACAAAGACAACGTGAAAGATGAGAGAAAATGTAAATTCTATTTCCCCTAATTCAGCACCAAGTCTCCAGATGCAAATCAGAGCTCTCCTCTTCTCCTGTCAATGCACCCAAAACACATTCCTCTACCAGATATGGTATGTCTCACATTGATATGAGATGAGAAAGAGATGAGAAAAGATTTGTTCTTGTTTGAGCTGACTTACAAGTTTTACTTACAGTAATCTAGATCACAACTATGTTGAAATATTTTAGTTTAGAAGATTCTTATTGGCCTCAACAGATTTTTATCCCACCTGCATGGGCCAGACGCAAACTCAGGCTCCAGAAACTAAGGTGCATTGTTCTAGACCTGAAATTGGTTCGACATACAATGACAAAGTCAAGTTTGAAAGCATTTCTCAACAATTTCTGTTGTAAGCAGCGCTAAAGCTAAATACAATTTCATGTTCAGTTCTACAAACAATCTGTAGCACCGGCAATCTTCACCTTTTCCACTTTGTTGGCTCACCCTTGACACTTGTTGGATCTATTTAGCTGGGAGGAATTACTCAAGCTGAACGTAACTTGCATTTACACACACTATGTGGATCAAAAAGGTGAGCGAACCAATATGGAAAGACGAAAGGCGTCTTACCTCTGTATTGGACACCGACACCGAAGGAATACATTCATTCTCCATTCTGTCCAATGAGCGAACGATCTCTTCAAATGTCTTTCTGTACTTTTCGTCATTGACCACTTTTATCTGCAAAGATTGTAACTTTTAGTGGTCTGGCAAAGAACGAATTGAACCCAAAACTGAGCGGAATCTATTGCACACAGACTATGGTCTCAATCAGCCTCATGCAGGTGAATTTAAGGAAAAATATCTATTCGCAGATCACAACTATGTGCTTTTCCATGCTTTAACACCCCCCACCCCCGTACATGCCACTGTTAATTTCCTTGCTAAGGCACATTACCATAAAACATCTGCACACAAAAAAATACATTTCATGTCAGGCCCATTTCATACCATAAAAAGGAACATAAACATAAAAAGGAATTTGCCGTCATTACTACAGTAGTTCAATCTCATGACTGCCTGAATAATTCTATAGTGCTTTGAGGCTTTGCTCACCACAATAAATCATTTACTAAGGAGTTAAGGTACAGTAGATTTTTGGTAACCTTCAAAAAGCAGTTCAGTATTCAAGCAAAAGGGAATAAGAGAATAAGCCTGTCTAAAAAGTTCTTCAACTTCTAAACCCTGTGTTGCCATTGGCAAAACTATCAGTTTGGACACAAGTTTTTATTCGGAGGTGAAGTCTCACTCCATTGCGGCGGATGGGAATTCCCTGGAGAAATCGCTGGTTTTGTCACAGTCATTGTTGACTGTGACAACCGAAGCACTGATCTTCCAGTGCCTTGGGACGTTCTCCTGACATGAAAGGCCCTGGAGACAAACGTAATTTTGTTGTTGGTGGTGGCAGCGACACAGCGGTGACGCAATTAAAGCACTGTAACAATTATCCGGCAACAATAACAGGCTGGAAATCAACCCTGGTGAAGGTGAACAGGAGGCTCCATTACCCCAATCAGGAATGCTGCGCTAACGGGCTTATGATCGCTGGTTTTCAGGGCCATGTGACTGCGATACTCCAACTGCTCCACGTTCTTGCCTTTCCAAAGGATTCGATCGCACCAAGCCGGGATTCGACATTTCTCACTGGCAAAGAGACGAGACAAAAATATTCTGTAATGTCTCTCTCACACAACAACAACTTGCATTTATGTAGCGCCCTTCAAGTGGGACAGTGTCTCGGAGCACTTACACACAACATTTCATATAGCGCCTTATCAGGTTAAAATGTCTCAAAGCACATCACATGATTTACTGCAAGGTGTAGTGACTGAGCATTTGTAAGCAAACTCAGCAGTCAAATTGCGCACGGAAATGTCCCACACATAACTCTGAACTGAATGATCAATGTTATGCAAGGGAATGATTGGCCAAAACACCAAGAGAAACTCTTATCTCTTTTTGAATAATGCCATGGGATTTTGCTTCAGTGCCAGTTTTAACGCCTCATTCAAAAGATGGCATTTCCAGCAATGCAGGGCTCACTGATGTGTCAGCCTAGACTTCAAAGTAAATTCAAAGTCCTTACCTGGAGCTTGAACCCACTAAACCTTCTAAATCACAGGCAAGAGTGCTACCAATTGAGCCAGCAGACAGCAAATTGATGTAAGGAAAACACTATGCGACATTTATTTAAACGCAGGTAAAGTTGATTTCAAAAGTACCAACAATATTTCCTCCTTCATCTGAAATAATAATAATAATCCTTGGATTTGATATAGCGCCATATCATTTTGTTGAGACGTCTCAAAGCGCTTGACAGAATACACAGTAAAGTGAATTGACTGTATATTTTGTGGGCGAGAAAAAAGTAATCTCGTGATCTTAAACAATGGTAACGCAGTAAATAAACAATTAATGGGCTGGTTACCTGGTGTCCCAGTTGTCAGTGCCAGTGTCATACTTGTACGTTGGAGGAAAATGGATTTCTCCTTCCTGGAATCCTTTGAATATGCTGCCTTCTTCCATCTGTTTCTTCAGCTGTGCCACAAGAGAACAGAAGTTCTACCATTTTAGTAATAAAAACAGATATTTGAGTTCAGTTTCTAAATAACAGTTGGTCTCCAGCATGGACCAAATCTTAATTTTCTTTTCAGTATTTATTTCTTCTCCTTAAGGTGTTTTCTTGTGCTCTTTTTCCTTCTACATGGCACAAGTTATCCTTCAGCTATTATACACCAACAAGCCATGACTCATGTGTAAGCTTTTGACATAAACTATTAGCAGGCTATTAAACTAAAGGGGCTTCACTATATATATTTATACACAGTACCCCTTAGCTTACAATTGGCTGCCGCGTTTTACCCACAAATATACAGTCAATTCACTCTACAGTATACTCTGTGAAACGCTTTGAGACGTCACAAAGACGTGAAAAAGCACTATGTCAAATGCACGGATTATTATTATTATTACGCCTTTTACTCATTCGCCACACTTTGGCGAGAATAACCTATCTTTTTAGGAGCATTTTTCACCTGAACAAAACACCCAAGATACCTGCTCCAAGGTCCCCAAAAACATCTCCCTGACAGGGTCTCACACTCTGATTTTCTGCCCCCGCTTGCAAAGAAATATGAGTGGTTGATACTCGTTGTGTAGACTGCACATCTTTCATTTTACCTGGTCAAACTTGCGAAGCGTCTCATAATCCTTCTGCTCTATAAGCCGTTTAATGCTTTCTACGTCCTTATAACATATCCTGTAGTTCAAGTCTCCAAGCCACAGAACCACACTTTATTTGACAAAAAAAAGGAGAAAAACAGAAGAATATGAAAGACCATGATTAAATTAGCTTAATTTGAATAATGCTCCAGTAGACCAGGCTTTCAGTGATTTACGACATCAATTTGGCAGCTTAATAATAACAATAATAATCCTAGCATCCTATATGGAGTTGGGCCTAAAACAATTATGTTCAAGTGTGAAATATTTGCAACAATCTACAGGGTGTCAGTCTTAAGACTTAGCTAAATGAGTGCAAGTTGTTTTTATGAGGGCCATATCTGAAGAAGCCAGGAATAGGAAGAAACCGGAATCCTCTTCCCAATAGCAAGATGCCCTCTGAATGTGAGAGGTTACATTTGTGAAACACTTTGGTTTATTTTGGGAGACGACAGCAACAACTTGCACACACACACACACACACACACACACATACATATGTAGCGCTCTTCATGCGGGTTAGTGTCCCGGAGCACTTGACCTATGGAGACTTACTCGTGCTTCATAATGGTGAGCGGTGGCTGTGTCAGGGTGGTCTGAACAAAGTGCATTCTGGTGCAGATTTCTTTGTAGTCCTGGTTACGTCGGTCGCACTCTTCAATATGAGCTGCCAGGTGAGAGTTAACAATGCACACAGTGGAGTTATGAAACTGAAACCTTATACTCACTCCACCCTTGTTTCCCTAAAGAGAGAAAAAAACAAATGAAAACGTCTTCTCATTTCCAATTCAACAATACATTTCTATTTACATTAGCGTTCTTTACGTCGGGAGGACTTCTGTGAACTAGTGCCAGACTTCTGTTTAGCCTCTTCCTATTGCACCACATTTGAAAAGAGGAACTGAGTGGCAATAGGTGAAGCAGCTGAAATTGCCATGTGTTAATTGGCTGCCATGTTGGTCTACAAGTGCACAGTTACTATATTTTACCAAAAACACTTTCAGACGTTTCAATGTTGTAGGCATAATAATAAATGGAAGCATTATTATTTGATTCAACATTGCTCCAAACAAAGTACAAGATTGGAGTCAGGGAAACACATTAACGCATGGCATCTGGGAGAGAGGAATGATGGAAGTGAGTTTTATCTTCATATTTTCAGACAGCAAATGACGTCTCTTTCCTTATCATTGCTCATCTGTGATTCCATTCATAAAAGATGGTGTGATGTGGACCAACAACAAAATGCCCGAATACGAAGTTATGCAAGCAAATTAACTGAATATCTTTGACAGGATACATTGATTCCATGTATCACCAATTAAAATTACAGAGTTTGAACTTTCATTTATCAAAAACTTATTACGTCAAAGCTGCAGCTTCAGTAGATACAAAACTAATGGTTAGTGACACTAATTATAACCACATGAAGAAGTAGTACTGTTCTCTGTAGCCAATATAGTCACAAGCCTCTTTTACAAAAGCCCAAGCAGTGAATTTGAAGGGGAAATTGTAGTGTGCTTATTTTGTAAAGATTCTCTTTGATATCCCAGCCAAAATTTATAATGTGAATGTCCTAAAAGCAATCTCCAAACACGTTGTCCCAAACAGGAATTATAGCACCATAGAGACATTGAACTAATATCCCATCTGCCTTTTCCAGACGGGAAAGGCAAATCTGATTTGCTTTTCACTCCACACTTACCTTCAACAGTACAGCTAAATTTGCAACTAACTATGTGCGGAATCATCGTCTTAAACCTAGATTAATAATACTTGCATTTGATATAGCATCTTATCACGTCTTCAAGATGTCTCAAAGCGCTTCACAGAATATACTGTAAAGTGAATTGGCGAAACATTTGTGTTGCTATATTCTGATGGTTATGATACTTTTTCAACCCCACTGTGCAAAGTAGCATTATTAGATTATAGTGCTTTACTTATAAAATTATGTGCCACTTATCTATTGTACTTTGGGGTCTCCTCAGAATTTCGCCTCTTATTAACACTTACATGGCGCAATACAAACTATTCTTAATTTTTTTTGCTTAAAATTCACTTTACCATTCTTCCCATGATCCCTGTTCCTACGGTTTCGGTCTCCACCGCGCTGATGTGTTCAGCATGTTCTTTCCTCACGTATAGTACAAGCATAATTCCAACCAGTCGCACAAGCTTGATCTGAAACAGAGAGATTATGTTCATCAGTGCTTCAAATCGTTACCGTTTTACTCTGGCAGCTACCTGCTCTGGGAACACAAAAGTCAACTGCAATGCTCCCACCAAAGCAATGACTAAGATGAAGTAACTCGATACAGACAAGCAATGATGATTCTTAATTCATTGTACAGTAAACCTTTCTTCCCAGTTCCTTGGGTAGTTAATGTTGCTTTATAAATTGATGCTTTTTGAATGATGTTCCTAAAAGTTCTAGTGAGTGACCTTATTTATAACAACAACTTGCATTTATATAGAGCCCCTCACACAGGGACGCTATATAAATAGTCCCAGAACTCATATACATGTTTTTGATACGAACACAACAAAATCCAAAACCGCACATCTTTACCTTTGCATATTTGGCCTTTGGATGAAGACTTTTGGACACAACTTTAAACCACTCCTCTTCCTTTGGAGTATCATTAAAAAAGAAGGCTTCTTTACTTAGGTCAAGTTCCTGAAAGCTTTAAGAACATATCACAGGAATGGTATACAGGGCTGAGAAACAACTGCAGAACAGGCAAAAATGGTAAACAAATCCACACAATCTGAAAAGCTTCTATACTCATATTAATCATATTCATGTGGAGTCCTGTAGCTCAGTGATTAGAGCACTTGCCTTGCAAGCGAGACACCTCAGTTCAATTCCAGGCAGAGGGCGACACCTTGGTAGAGTTTTCCTTACTCCACACAGAACCTAATAATAATCCCTCCAAAATAAAAACAATAATAAATTGGTCATTTTCAACCCACGACTGTTTGTGGGACGCTGCTGTGCGCAATTGGCTGCCGCGTTTTGCCCACAAATATACAGTCATTTCACTTTACAGCATATTCTGTGAAGCGCTTTGAGATGTCGAGAAGACGTGAAAAGCGCTATATCAAATGTAAGGACTATTATTATTATTAATTAATTCAATTCATTAATGGCTAAAATTATACGTTCTTTACACACACTTGTTACTGATCACTACAGCTGCAGGTTTGACTGGATTTCAGAGCGATTCAGAAATCGTTGAGACATTTAAAAGCCCTTCACAGAATAGATTTTGAAAGTTTATTGACTGTATATTTTGTGGGCGAAACGTGGCGGCTAATTGCGCATAACAGTGTCCTACAAACAGTCGTGGATTGAGTGACAAAATTATTGGGAGGGTTTTTGACGATTATTATCCCCAGAAAAGCGATCCGTCGATCGACCAAAAACCGGGTTCCTGTTACTGTTAGGTAAATAGAGGCGTGTGGAGGAAGAAAACCAACAGCTGTCTGCAACAGCTGGCCCAACATTTCGCCCTGCTGGGAATAGAACCCAGGTCTCTGCTTGCGAGATGAGTGCTCTAACCACTGAGCTACAGGTCTCCACATAGTAATGTGTTTGCTATAGCTGTTAACGATATGGGGTAGCGTAGATTTACTGTATTTTTGAACAGCTTGGGCCAAATAGTAGGAAATTTCAACACCAAGCATGGTGTATAGTCACTGTTTTGTGCTCGGAATTGCTCTCAATTAATCCTGGATGCTGTATGGTTGTGAGCTCTGTACATTTTTTTTATATACACTCAGTTTAGGCCACAATCTCGCAGTCATGAAAGGGTTGTTAGTAAATTTAGAAGTTCTATAAACTACTTAGGGAGGTGTTGACATACCCGATACAGTAGATATCAGGCGGTTCACTGTCAGTGTTGAGCCAAAGTTTCAGATCGTCGCTGGGAGACTGGCCATTCACATTGTACGTGCCGACAAAAAACCTGTACACAACAGAAATGATTCATTTTAACAACAACAACTTGCATTTATATAGTGTCCTTCAAGCGGGGTAGCATCAAAGTACAACACATCAGCGCACAAAACTATTTCAATTTAGGAACTCTACACTGCTGCACCCTCACGTCACATTGCTTACAATATCCGCAGAGCAAAATGTTCACAAATAGGAAATATTCATGTTAGAGATGCACTGCATTCAAGTCATCTTTTCAGCTTCAACTAACCTGAAGTGTTTGATATATGTGTACGTGTCCTCTTGTTTCAGCAACTCAATTTTGATCAGGTTGTCTCGTAAGCCGAACTGAGGCATCCCTAGGATCTGAGATTTGTTGGTAACCATTAGACTGGATGTGCGGACCATATTATTGGTTATTTCACCCCTCACTTTACTGTGCCTGAAAACCAAAGTAAAACAGACCGTTATCCTCTTTGTCCCAACATCGCCATCGACTAAGCAACATGCCTAATAATAATCCCTCCAAAAAAAAAAAAAACAATAATAAATTGATCATTTTCAATCCACGACTGTTTGTGGGACATTGCTGTGCGCAATTGGCTGCCGCGTTCGCCCTCAAATATACAGTCAATTCACTTTACAGTATATTCTGTGAAGCGCTTTGGGACGTCCTCCCGACGTGAAAAGCGCTATATCAAATGCAAGGATTATTATTATTATTATTATGCACGTAAACTCTTTGCACCGTACGGGTTCACTCCATTGGTTAGTACTTATTTTTCAACACAGATCCCTGTGGGATCTCTTGGCCCTTTCTGTTTGCTGGAGTAAAACCATCACTTGAAGCAATTGGGTTTTACTAGAAACAAATGGGACCATTGAGGGTTTGGAGGGTAGAGCTCGATTTGGAAGGGATCAGATATAAATTTTTTTTTTAAAAAATCGAGTCCGCCTCACCCCCTCCCTTGCCTTCTTCAAGGCCCATCTCAAAACCTTCCTCAATGCCTTTGGGCATCCTCCCATCTCCAACCCTCTCGACTCCAACCCCCAGTACGGATGCAAACCTTTCACTATCCAGCATCTTGAGACGTCCTCTCGACTTGAAAGGCGCTGTATGAATGCAATTTGTTGCTGTTGTCTACACACTGACTAAAATGGGACTGGATTTAAAATAACATTTGTGGAAAAATGGACTACAATAGGGAGGAAAGGACAGCTGATATTCCCCATGAATCCAATCAAATGTAGTAACAAGTCAAAATCACCTGCAAACTGTTTGAACAAACATCTACTTTACCGAAATCAAAAAACACTTGTCAAATCCAGGGCCATGTGGTGGATTTTTCCAGCGTTTGTCTTCTTAACGAGATTCTTGACTTTCTGACCCGCCAGACATTCTCGCCAGAGTAACATTGCTCACCGTAGCTTACACAGTCCATCGTGTTATCTTTTTGGTCAGTTGGGGGTCTGACATGAGGAAATCATCACCTTACTTAAGAATATCCAAACCAAACAGATTTTCATGCATAGATATACACATGGAAATTCCCAAATTTGGAATTGAATACTCTCGCTTCGGAGGGACGGATCCTGGTTACTTAATTCCAAAGAGTATTAGGCACAGGAGCTATGACTTGGAGAACCCAGTGTGCACGTTGGGGTTCTACTGGAGTTTAACTGGCTTAAAAACACATAGCTTGCCATTGAAAGCACTGTCTGGCAAGTCTGCTGTTTCTCTAGCTAGGACCACCCTACCCGTTAGGGCAGGGTTAATGGAAGAGTCGGGAAACTCCTGCCTCTGGTGACCAGTCTGTCTCTCCAACTCCCACCGATGGCGGTCTGTCATCAGCACTACCGTGGACCTGCCTGACTCAGGAACCAAGCTATCTGGACGCCACAGAGGTTTGACTAGATTCCTACAATCCGTTTCCAAGCATGTCGCCTTGCAGCCAGTTCAGCTCCAGGGGAACCCCGCTTATTGCTTACCTTCCCCTCCTCTTTCCTTCCATACAGTGCTCAGCCTCAGTGCTACCATTCTTCTCCATCTAAAAAACATAAATGTCTATCGCCCTCGCCATCTGTATCCTATCTTCCTTTGAGTTTTAGATCCCTCTCTCTGTGATTCTGTCCGTCTTGCACAGTCTCTCATACTCACTTGCTCTTTTCCCTTCTCTCCAATTCATTCACTCACACTGTGTACATGTGTAATCCCTGTATTTACTTTGTGTATGACTTTCTTCTGTCTTCTGCTTTTATCTCTCTCTTACCTACAACTAACACACTCACTCACACTTTTCACTCCCTTTCCCTCGATCTGTTACCTCTCGTACTTGGTTTCATTCACTCACTCTTGTGCGATTCCCAACTTGTTGCAAGGTTTCCAAGCAATTTCAAAGTTTTGAGTGAACTTACAAAAGTGGCTCTGGACCTGAAACATGTGTGTCACCCCTAATTTTGCCCACAAAATATAGTCAATTCACTTTACCGTATATTCTGTGAAGCGCTTTGAGACATCTCAATGACGTGATAAGACGCTATATCAAATGCAAGGACTATTATTACTTATAATAAAATTATTATACATTTTAGAATTACTCCACCTCTTTCCCACATGGGTACTTTTTAAAAAAATTAATGTTGTTTATGTACCATTATTTATGAGTCTGGAACACAAACCAATCCTGCAGATAAGGAGCTAAAATTATCTCTCTTTATATATGTTCCCCAGTGGCCATCAGATGACCCAAGACTGTTGAAGATACTGAACTGGGTCAGTGTCTAAACCACTTCTAAACCTTCTGCTTTGTGAGTACTTGTTGTGCTTTCAGGCTCTTAATGTTGTGGAATGCATGCAAGCTCTTCTATGGCTGGAAGGAAGCCCCTAATCTTGTCGGCACTGCTGTGGTGAAGTACTGAGTAAAGACCAGGTTCTTCCTCACAGGATTACCCCTTAAGAGTTGCTGCAGTGAAGTGAATAACAATAATCCTCGCATTTGATATCATCATTCTTGAAACGTCTCATATGCCTCACAGGATATACTACAAGGTGGTGTGACTGTATTTTATAGGCGGCTTGCAGGTTAGTTTTAGCTGAGGCTAGGGAGGGGTCAGCTATGCCTAAAAATACTCTTTATAAATGTAGTAACGTGCTTTGACCTATTATTGTCATTGTGTAGCTCATAAAAGTGAGAAAATACATTTGCAAAATAAAATGTTTAGGGGCAAAGAAAATGAAACAATGCCATAAGAATTAAATTAAACATTCACTTATGTAAAGGTTGTTTTGGAATGGTGATTTCATTAGCTCTTACTTTTCCTGGTTTGGCACAATGTAGGTGTCCTCACCCTTGTAGCTGCTTCTCTGTTTACCATTGTTAGCGACTGACAGCAGATCAGAATCACCTGTAATTAAACAAAATGAATATCTTATGTAAGAGCAGACAATATTCAATTCCTGAACTACAGGAAGGTGTTTTTTTGGGGGTCAGCGGGGTGTCTGACACATGCAGGAACCCATCACCGTGCTTAAGAGTATCCAAACCTAATTAAGAATTCCAGGCATCCCATCTACACATGGAAATTCCAGAGACAGATTGTTGCAATGGAATGCGCAATCTCTCTCTCTCTTTCTCTCTGGAGGGACATATCCTGCTTACCTAATTCCGGAAAGTTTTAGGCCCAGGTTAGCAAGAACCGAGATTTGGGGACCCCAGAGTGTGTTGGGGTAACTGCTGGAGTCTAACCAGCTAAACTGCCGAACTTGCCATTAATATTGCTGCCCGGCAAGCTTTCCTGCTGCTTGACCAGCTAGGACCACCTGTTAGGTTAACAGAAGCTGAGTGGGATGACGTCCTGCCCAGTGATTCGTCTGCCCTTCTGCGTCCTGCCGATGAGCCAGGCTGTGCTGTCATCAGCGGTGTCCTGGAATACTGCGGACCCGCCTAACTCAGGAACCGGACCACCGAGACCCCCACAGAGGGCTGGCTCGATTCCGACATTCGATTGCCAGGCATATCACTTTGGAGCCAGTAATACAAGGTACAGTGTTCAATCCCTGGACTTTGAGTTAGCCATATTCAGGTAGACTGGGCCAGTAGCCAAAGCATTCCAGCATACTAATAAATAAGCTGCTGAGGAGATCGGCTTCACTGTGTGTTTAGGTCACTGTGATGTTGTGATATACCAGGGGACACTATAAGACACTACCCTGCGTGAGGGGCGCTATATAAATGCAAGTTGCTTTTGTTGTTGAACATCACACACCAGTAACAACTTCAACAGTGACTAGGAGCAAATCCTATTCCATTTCATCCTCAACATGCCGGTTTATACAGTACCCATATACGTGTCATACGCACTCAAGATGTGCAAAATACAATGATGTAACAAGGAGTTGCTGTGGAGGAGTTGGGATAAGGTTCTTTCATAACCAACCAATCCCACGTTTAGTTGATAACCTTTTGATTTACATACAGCAAGATATATTGAAAATCTATCCAAAAACATGAATAAAATTGAACCAAACAAATAAACATGCTTGAAATCAGGATACAGGCAAGGAGGAAAAGATAGGAATGAATTTAGAAGCATCACTTACTGGGATTAACAATGGCATCAGTAGCAGAGATAGCAGCAGCGGCAGCAACAGCACCAACAACAGCAGAAATATACCAGCAAATTATTTTGAAGGGTTATTTGTTGAACAAGCAGAGCTGGACAGTAGTAGGAAAGCAGCATTAGTAAAGAAAGAACTGGGATGATTTGTATACTGTACATGTCTAAATCTATACATTATAAAGTGGGGCAGGGGATTGGCTGTACTTGATACTTTATAAGTACTGTATAATTCTTAAAACATAAAACGTGAATACAAAATGGATGGTTTACAACCAGCTGACTGAACTCTTTCGTCAATTGTAAACTAATTTAAAAAATGGACTTTATATTTTTCACACTATCTCCTGCAATAAACTCCGTCCTCCGCTGGCTCCTCTCTGGCTCCCTAATCTCCAGCAAGTCAATGTTATGATCGTCATCTTCACCTTCAAATGCCTCCATGATCTTGGAATACCCTCTCTCCGCACTGCACACTCTAGCCTGCTTCTTGCTCCTTGTACCACCATTGTGGAGTCCTGTAGCTCAGTGGTTAGAGCACTCGCTTTGCAAGTGAGAGACCTGAGTTCAATTCCAGGCAGAGGGCGAACCTTGGGCAAGTTTCCTTACTCCACACAGAGCCTAATAATAATCCCTCCAAAACTAAAAACAATAATAAATTGGTAATTTTCAATCTACAACCGTTTGTGGGACATTGCTGTGCGCAATTGGCTGCCGCGTTCGCCCACAAATATACAGTCAATTCACTTTACAGTGTGTTCTGTGAAGAGCTTTGGGACGTCCTCCCGACGTGAAAAGCGTTATATCAAATGCAAGGATTATTATTATTATTGCCTGGCGAGCCTTCACCCACTTTGCCCCCTTGCTCTAGATCTTTCTCCAGAACTCTCTCCACCTTGCTCCTTCCCCCTCTGCTTTCCAATTACACCTGAAGTCCTATCTCTTTTGAGCTTTTACTCTACCCCACTCCTTTCCAGCTCAGGCTGCCACTCAGTCTTTGCAAGTACTTTCAGAATGACATTCTTCCAACTTGAAAGGCGCCATACAGTATAAGAGTAAATTGCTGTTGTGAACAGTGAAATTTGACTGCTGAAATGATCAGCATCTTTTTATGCAGAGGTATACAGCACATGGGGACCAAATCTGACCTGAACAAATGCCCAATATGCCCCTCTAACCCTTTTTTATGAACAAGAGAACACAATATGAAATTGACTTGGTATAAAACAGGATTTACCCTGTTCAAGATAAATCTATTTTCATCCCTTCCACTGACTCATATTACCATTTAAATCCACCCTTTAGAAATGTACAGCTCAGCATCATTCCCAACTGGCCACGTTTCACACAGCAACCATAGATATTTACAGCACAGAAATAAGCCAATTCAGCTCATTTATGTCTGTACTGTGCTTTTTTAAAAAAATTCATTCCGCCCCCATTTGCCTGTAGTTCTCATATGCCCCTGCAAATTGCTCTGTTTATCCAGTTCCTTCTTGAAAACTAATATGGAATCTGCCTTGATCACCACATTCAAAAGGGTATTTCACATCCTAACAACAAGACGCATTTATATAGCGCCTTCACATAGGGTAGTATCCTGGAGCACTGCAACTCTTTGTGAAAAAGAAGTCTTCTACTCTCCCCGTTGCTAATTATTTTAAATTGATATCCTTTTGTCCTTGAATCACTGAACAGTGGAAGTAATTTCTCCTGAACTCCATCAAAACATCTCATAATTTAAAAGATCTACATCAGGTCTCCCCTCAACATCTCTATTCCGGTGAAAATAAACCCACTCCCTCTAGTCTCTGCTCATAAATCAATCCCTAAACCCTAGTGTCACTCCTGCAAATCTCCTTTGGAAGGTCTCTATGGTTCTGACATCCGAAGGGTGATCAAACCCAGAGAGAATACTTTATCATACAAAACTTCAACGACAGCTTGCATTTAGCTGGCACCTTCCACATGAAAGAAGTGCATTGATGCAAGTTACAGAATAAGATCAATTGCAAATAATGTGAATTGTTACGTCCAAACATTCTCTCTGAGTGGAGAATTTTTCAGACCACATGTTCAATTCAGGTCATCCTGACCAAAGCTGACTGGCTTCTCCAGACACCTAAAAGATAACGCTACATAATAAACATGCAGAGAAGGAAATTCAAAGAAGGTGGGAGTGACTGGGAGAGAGAAACTATGACTGAAATCGGAAAGTTTGGAACAAAGAATAAACAGATGCGAAAAAGTGACAGAAAATGGTTCCCTTTTCACTCTCCAAATCCCCCTCTAAGATCAAAAGTGAAATAAGTACTCAATGTGAAGCAGAGGTACTCTTGAACCAACTGCCCAGCACATCAAACATCCATCAAACTGGAAACAAAACCCAAAAAAGGCTACCAAATGTCAAAGCCATTCTGTTCAAAAAGCAATGATTCAAGGAAGAATGCATTTGATTAGTGTTTGACAAGAGAAGTGTATTTCACAATATAGGAACATAGGAATTAGGAGCAGGACTATGCCATTCGGCTCCTCGAGCCTGGCCCACCATTCAATAAATCATGGCTGATCTTCTAAACTTACTCCATCTGCCCACTTTATCCCATATCCCTTAATCCCTCTCTCCTTCAGAAACCTATCAATCTGAGTCTTGAATGTGTTCAAGGAGCGAGCATCTACAGCCTTCTGGGGTAGAGAATTCCATAAATTCACTACCCTCTGAGTGAAGAAGTGTTTCCTCAACTCTGTTCTAAAAGGTTGTTTCTTAATCTTAAGACTGTGACCCTAGTTCTAGATTATCCTACCAGGGGAAACAGTCTTGCACTGTCTACCCTGTCAAGCCTCAGAAGAATCTTATATGTTTCAATAAGGTCACCCCTAATTCTTCTATATTCTAGAGAATATAGGCCTAGTTTACTCAACCTATCTTTATAGGTCAACACCCTCATCCCAGGAACTAACCGAGTGAATCTGCACTGCACCCCCTCTAAGGCGAGTATGTCTTTTCTTAAATAAGGAGACCAAAACTGCACACAATAGTCTAGTTGTGGTCTCACCACGGCCTTATACAGTTGCAGCAAGACTTCCCTCCTCTGGTATTCTAACCCTTTTGCAATAAACGCCAACATGCCATTAGCCTTCCTAGTTGTTTTGTGACTGGTGTACAAGGACACCCAAATACCTCTGAACACTAATACTATCTAGTCTCTCCCCCTCTAGAAAATAATCTTCTTTTCTGTTTTTACTACCTAGGTGAATAACTTCACACTTCCCCACATTATAATCCATCTGCCACCTTCTTGCCCACTCACCTAGCCTATCTATATCTCTTTGCAATCTTTTTGTGTCATCCTCAGAGCTTACTCTCCCACCTAGCTTAGTATCATCCACAAATTTATTTTGCAGCTCCTTTTTTGTAACTAGCACAGTAGATGTAAGATTTACTGATTCAGAAACAACTGGTTCAGTGAGCACCAACAATGTGCTACCCCTAGAGATCTTATCAGCAAAAGCACTTTATCACTGTACACTTTGAGGTCTTACTATTTCTGTTTTTTCCTGTCGCTATAGATTATGTGTATATAAATATATTACACATAAAATAAGATATTTAATCTGAACTAAAACCAGGAATATTTATAATTTTCAGTACTGTAGTTGACTACATTTCCCTAGGAAATGTATTTGTTCACAAAGTCATAGACTTTCCAATATTGTAACCCAGGTATTTTTATGTGACAGAACACTATCTAGCGCTGTTCTGAATTAAATAATGGGTTAAGAATACA